CATAGTGATACTGCCTCAGAAACCCAAGGAGGTGTCACTATGAGTTGGGTCCGACTCGACAGCACATAACAAGAACAACAACAACAGAGTGGCCAAACTAGCCAATCATAGCATCAGAATTCTAAGCACCTGAGAGAGAGAGCGACCTTCCCAGAACATTGCTTTGTGCCACTCCCCACAGAAATACCCCAGGTAAATAACATTTACAATCAGGAGCTCCTCAGTTGCTCACAGCAAATTCTACCACAGAGTTTACAAAGACTTATGGCTAGGAAAGCCATACTAGGTAATTTACTACACTGCATCACTAAAGGACAAAAACACTGTATGAGACAATTATTTTAAAAGTCAAGAAAAGGTTTACATAGAGAAAGAAACATTCTTTGAAGTTTACCAGAGGTGGAAAGAGAAGGAAGAGTCAATCACTAGCTAGAGAGTAAACACATAATAATTTGGGTGAAGAGAAAGGCATATACACTAAGGGGGAGATCAGCACAAAATGATCTAGGGAAAGGAAAACACTGGGAAGAGCACAAAGGTTAAAGGAAACAAAGGTAAACACTATTACATACAAAATCCTGTAATAATAATCTATGAGTAGACACATAGATATAGGTGTGGGAAGGCAAATGGGACTATACTTATGAATATATATTATTTCGACAGAGTATATTTCTTCATATGTATTTACATTGCTGCAAATATAACTATTAATATAATAGAGCACACAGGGGTCAAAGTTTTGAAAACTTCTTAGCCACAACCAAACACTTTGAGGGAATTGACCATAGTCTTGAGGACATCAGGGTCAACTGGAGTAACATAACATAACATAATCCACAAAGACAATATTCTACATTCTACTTTGGTGACTAGTGACTGGGGTCTTAAAAGCTTGTGAGCAGCCATCTAAGGTGCAGCTATTGGTCTTTTTCTGTCCAGAACAAAGAAGAGTAAAGAAAATCTAAGATGCATGGGAACAATTAGTCCAAAAGAGGCGATCCCCAGCCTCCCTGACCCTGAGACCAGAAGAACTACACGAGCCTGCCTGCCTGCCACTGTTGACCACTCTGAGAGAGATCACAACAGGAGGTCCCGGATAGAGTGGAAGAAAAATGTGGAACAAAAGTTAAAATACTAAAAAAGACCAAGCTTAACTGAACTCAGCCCATGGCTAAATTTTCAGCCAAATGACAGACCTATAAGGTGAAAAATAATACCAGGGAGATATGCACTTATCAGTGCATATAATAATTAGCCATATGAGATCAAAAAGGCAGCATGTGCCCAGAGATAAAGCTCAGCAAACAGAAAGGAATAGGAAAGAAGGACAAAGGGAAATGGTAAACACAAGGAGGAAATAGGAAGAGTGCTATTACATTGTGGGGATTGCAATGTATGCCCCAAAACAAAATGTATATGAATTTTTGAATAGAAAATCAACTTGCTCTTTCAACTTTCACTCAAATCAGAATAAAATTTTTTTTAATAAAAATATGAGTATAACTTCTACACATTAGAAATATCTGGGCTTTCAAATAGTCCATCTTCAAATTACATTAAACCAAAATGTCCACACACACACACACACACAAATACACAGTCATTTTTTATTTTGTCCTTGGAGTTAGAAGCTTACAAATACTGAACTGAGTGATAAATGGCTACAGTATACTTTTAATGTTGTTGTTGTTGTTGTTATGTGCCGTCGAGTCGGCCCCGACTCATAGCGACCCCTCCTTGGGTTTCCGAGGCAGTATCACTACGGAAGTAGGATTGCCCAACCTTCCTTCTGAGGAGTGGCTGGTGGGTTTGAACCGCCAGCCGTCTGGTTAGCAGGCAAGTGTCTTAGCCACTATGCTACCAGAGCTCCCAACTTTTAATGTTAGCCAATGATATACTTCTTTTTTTCTCCCTATCCCTGGCAACACAAAGTTTTTCCCTTCTAGATTGCTGGCAGGGTCACCTCAGATTCTTTTTACTATTATATTATTTATTATTGTCAATATTATCACAAGAATCCCCGCATCCAGACAGAACTTCATAGAAGAAGGAAGAAGCACCTGCTGTGTCCAAACAGAAATGAGCATTCACTGGGAAACATGTATAGTAATACAAGCATAGTAGTAAGAAATCTTTGGAGTTTATGCTAGAAACCAAAATACTATTCCTTACATTAAAACATATTCCCTGTCCCATACTACTGACTTACCAATGAACATCTGAAATAGAATCAGCTCAAAAATTGGAGAACTACATATGAAGATAACAATCCCTAACTTAGAAACTCCAAAAAAAAATTTTAAAAGTTAAATATGTAAAAGATTGTCAATTTCTTTTTATATCTCTGTAGTGGGAACTTGGGAGAGAAAGCATAAATATTATTCAGTCTTATCCCTTATTATTTAGTCACATCCCTTAATGTTCATTAGCTGTGTTTAATAATATACCTAAAAAATCTAATAAATTGTTTGGCTTACCTTTTGCATACACATGTCAGCTATTATGGACAGAGGTATTGTAAGGCTTAGTGCAAGTGTGCCTATCAATGATGAGGTAAGAAAGCAGCCCCTGGGGGGAAAGAATAAAAAAAGAAAGAAAGTAAAGAGATAAAGAAACTAAACATCTCCATATTAAAAATATAAAAGGACCAAAAAAATAAGTAACAAGAAAAAAAACATCAAACAAAGACTATCTGTCTATTCTATAATACATGTTTGAGAGTTCAAGAACAAAAAATAAAAGCTTAAGATGGACTGAAACATAATATATAATAAAGCTATCAAGTTTATCTTCATATATTAAAAATTCAAATATATAACCACAAACATAAAACGTTTCAATTACTTGATCTTGTTTCAAGATCTGATGACAGATTACATTCAATTTTGGATATATAGTTTATATTTCATGAAAGTTTTATAAAATACTGTTGAATGATGTTCATGCAGTTTTGGGATGATACTTAGCTAACAAAGGAAACAGATAATATCTCACAACACACTTTAAGAAATTGATAAGCCAACATGTGAACTACCACCAAAGCAAAAATATGTCATCCTCAACAAAACTGAAATAGTTTTTATATGTGTGTTTTTCCCTTGATTTGGCTTAGCACAGGGAAGAAAGAAAAATATTTTAAAAGGATATTACCTTGTTGTCTTCTATTTTTCTAGCAACTGTCCTAACTGTTAAAGTTAAATTATTCATCTTAATTTCACCTTCAACTATCAATGTTGATATAAAATTTTTAAAAATCAATCTGCATTTAATTTCATTTTGTTTAACTTGAGGGAAAATATACCAAATAGAAACAAGCCATTTATAATGTCTAATAATTTTGGTGGGAGCTCTGGTAGCATAGTGGCTAAGGCGCGTGACTGCTAACCAGAAGGCTGGCGGTTCAAACCCACCAGCCACTCCTCGGAAGGAAGGTTGGGCAATCCTACTTCTGTAGTGATACTGCCTCGGAAACCCAAGGAGGGGTCACTACGAGTCGGGGCCGACTCGACGGCACATAACAACAACAACAACAACTTTGGTGTATAAGAAGAAAAATATTACAGCCCCCAATAAGACCATAATGTTGTAATTAGGACCACAGGCCCATGGAAATTGAAGGCAAGTAAATCTGGGCTCCGTGTATGTTAGAATAACGCTTCCCTGTAGTAAAAAGAAAGAGCTCTGGTGGTGCAGTGGCTAAAGAATTCGGCTACTAACCAAAAGGTCCATGCTTCAACCCACCAGCCACTCTGTGGGAAAACGATGAGGTAGCCTATTTCTGTAAAGATACACAGCCTTAAAAACCCTATGAAGCAGTTCTACTCTATCCTATAGGGTCACTATGAGTTGGAAGCGACTAGATAGCAGTAGGTTTGGTTTGGTTTTGGTACTAAAAGGGACTATTTCCTGATACTAGAAGTATTGAACAGAGGCTGGACAATTCTTAACCGTTGCAGTAAATTGTATATAATACACTCTTCTTACACTTGTTTTGAGTTATCAACACCATCTAGAATATGAGGCATATAATGTTTGCTTAATTGGTTTAATTTGATTAACCTACTGCTAATAAGCTATTAGGAGTCCTTGGATGGTACCAACAGTTAAGTGTTCCACTACTAGTTGAAAAGTATGGCAATTCAAAGCCACCCAGAAGCACCTCAGAAGACAAGCTTAGCAATCACAACCTATGGAACAGTTTTATTCTGAACACATGGGGTCACAGTAAGTCAAAATCAACTCAATAGCAAATATTAACAAAGAGCTATTATCATAAGTATTCTTAAAGTAATGAGTGGAGGTACATATGAACAACATAGCTTTGCAAGGTCCTAAATAATCCATCCTAGGTAAGGATAAGGTTTTCTTAACAACAACAACAACAACATGTTTGACTTAGTCTTTTCTGCTTATAGGTATTTATCATATATTATGCAAGAACATTTGGATATGTGCAAACACACAGGAGAATGTTCAATGACATATTATTTACAAAGCAAAAGATTAGAAACTTGAAATGTCTCTCAGCAAGGAATCAGTTAAACATATCCATTGTTACATAATGGATTGGAATATTATGCAGCTGTATTTTAAAAAATGAGTTGAATCTAAGTGCTCATATGTAAGGATCTCTAAGACAACAATTTATGAAAAAAGTAAAGTACAGAACAATCCATAAAATGCTACTGTTTGTGTGCTAAAAGTGAAAAAAATGTTCAGGAAAAATTAAGGGAGCAACACACTTCTATCGGTATAGAAACATTTTAGAAGCTTTATAATCTGACAGTAGTTTCATTTTTGGGAAAATGAAATGGAAAATTTAATGTGGAACAGAGATTTCTTGTCTTGTAAACCCTTTGTACACTTTTGTATGTGTTATTCTTTTAATAAAAAAAGTGAAATGAAAAGAGAACAAAATATTTCAAAACATATAATTATATCATTTGTTTAAAAGTACAAGTTTTCTGGGAGCAAACTCAAATTGCTCATATAATAGAGATAGATTAGATGTGTACCTCTCATATTCGATGGTATCTGAAAGTCTCTATTAATTTCTACTAAAAACAGAAAATTTCTATTGTATATGTATTTTAAAAATAAAGCTTTCAATAAAGAATGAGCATTATTAGTATTTTTAGGTAGAATAGTTAACTTACACAGATTCTCAGTTAATAAGGACCATCCATACTAAACCCTTCTCTAGTCTAACATCCAAAGAGAAATTGAATTATTTCTTAAAAATATGTAATAACTCCTTACTTTGAAATTTTCTAACTTAAACTCAAGAAACTAGAGAATATAAACTTATATTAAAATACAGTGAGTGCATAATTATTTTAAAGCAGCCATATATTGGGTTAAGCCACATGAAACTGTCATCAAAAACATGAAAATCAACAATTTCTCATGGTTCAAATAAGTTCAATCAAAACACTTTAAGTCCTACCAGTAGTACTTATTGTGCCCAGAACCAAGATGGAAAGAGAGGGCCCAACCCCTCCAAAAAAAAAATCATAGCACAAGAGAACAAATACATAATATATATTATTTGGAATATAATATTTCATCTTCTTTTTGGTTAAAAAATTGAGCACCTACAAATGTAAGCAATGAAAGATGGAAAAAATGAATGAAACAATGGAATTTGATATTGAAGAGTTTTAGTTTAGCAAAGGAATTCAGAAATCTACATAAATAACTATAATACAAGGTAAACAGAGAAGTACTACATGAAAAGGGGAGTATACGGAGGAAATTCAGAAAATAAATATTTCCTTGATTGAAGGTGGGGGTAAGTGTAGCAGAACTCTAAGAGAAAATCAGAAGACTATAGAAAAAGCTATTTTCTTGCAGGCTTTTGCAAGGGAAAATTCAACAATAGTCTTACTTGGTATGTAATAAAACTCATTCAGGAGTTTAAGTACAATTTGTTTTTCTTTTTTAATTTCTATCAGATGGAAACAGGATTAAGTATAAAGCTCAGTATGTGAAGTTTCTAAAACTCCACTAATATTGTCTTCAATCTATTTTAAAATTATCACTGTCACTTTAAAATTATATTAACATCTCAAAGTAATCAGTTTATATAGCTAGCTGCTGATATGAAAGGTGTTGAGAACAAACAAAAGTGTCTGAGAACAACCAAACAGGTATCTTAAAGTCCAGGCTCTTAAAGCAAAATCCTCACTTAGAAGCAGGCATTCATACTTGGGATATGTATCTATGAAGTTTGGATATCCGTTAGAGTATGACTCCTTCCAGTTGCATAACATGCCACCTTCTCAAATACTCTAAAAAATTCCTGTCATTCACAGTCTTTCATTCATTTGTTCAACAAGTATTTATTGAGTTCCTCCTATGTGTGAGGCATTATTCTATGCAATGGGCAAACAGAAATGGAAAAATAAGAAAAACCAAACTCACTGCCGTCGAGTCGGCCCCGACTCATAGAGACCCTCTCCTTGGGTTTCCAAGGTAGTATCACTATGGAAGTGGATCACCAGATCTTCCTTCCATGGAGTGGCTGGTGGGTTTAAATCGCCAGCCTTCTGGTTAGCTGTCAAATGCCTTATGCACTATGCTCAACAAACATACAAGCAAATAAAAATAAGCAAAGATGCCACTCTAATGGAGTTCATACTAATTTGTAAATGTGTGGGATAGGATAGAGAGGTGTACAGAAGGGGTCATCAGAAGACAGAAGAAATCTAAATGCTTAAACTATCCAAGTTCATAAACTGCTCACTAATAAATCATAGGACAATAAATAGTACATACCATAGCCACAGGAACTCTGAGAGAACTGTTCCAATAAGGCCATTAATGATAATGCACATTAATACTACTTTATTGGGAAACTCAAAGTCCTCAAATCCAGTATAATGAAGTAAAAAGAAACCTGGCCATAATAGCAGCAGATTAAACAGACCTACAAAACCTAAATATATGTAAAGGAAAAAAAAAGTTAGTAATTAATTATTATTTTAATTTCCCAAACTTATAATATCTCTATAATGAGAAAACATTAAATTTTGTACAAATGGCTCCAACGTTTCCTTAATTGGAATTTGTTTATTTGTTTTTAAGTTAGTCCTGCAAATAGCGCAACACCAAAATAAAACTGTATCAAACAACTACTAATCACTCAATCTTTAAGGTTCAACTATTCACATTGTATAGAGCAACTACTGTAGAATAATACACTTAAAACAATTCAAAAAGAAAGGTTGTTAACATGAGCTGCTAGTAACACTGAACTTAAAAAAAATAACTGTTAATTGTATGTGTTGTGAATTAGCCTAAATTAATTACGAGGAGAGGGACAGTTTGCTCTCTTATTCTAGTCATTTATGTTGAAAGCTTCACTACTATGCTATGCTAGGAATAATGGAGGAAGGTTCAGCGCAAAGAAGATAAAAATCTTTCCAGTCTTCCCAGAGCTTTTATGCTGGTTGGTGAGGTAACTTACATATACAAATAGCTATTCAAGGCATCAAATGCAGACTGACAGTGGTTAAAATGCTTTGCATTCCAACAACCCTGGGTTCCAATCCGAGTTATGATTTTCAATAGTGGTGTGAACCTCAGGCAAGATACAGACAAAAACTCTTTCAAGTTTCAATTTTCCAATCTATAAATGCTAAAGAATATCTACTTAATTAGGCTGTTGGGAAGATAAAACAAAACATTTATATAATAGAGCACTGTGCCTGGCACAGAGTAAGCACTTAAATAAAGGTTATTATTACTGTAGATGAGGTAAATATAGAGCTGTATTAAAATTGTTATAGTAAATATAATTTATATTTGCTATGTCACCTAGGATTTAGGGTACATAGTGCCTAAGGCACTTGACTGCTAACCAGAAGGCTGCCAGTTCAAAGTCACCAGCCACTCTTTGGAAGAAAGGTTGGGCAATCTACTTCTGTAGTGATACCGCCTAGGAAACCCAAGGAGGGGTCGCTATGAGTCGGGACCAACTCGACGGCACATAACAACAACAGTTAAACCAAACTCACTGTCAATGAGTTGATTCCAACTCACAGCAACCCCTGTTGGGATTCTGAGGCGGTAAATCTTTATGGAAAGTAGATTGCTCCATCTTCCTTCCAAGGAGGAGCTGATGGGTTTGCATAGCCAACTTTCTGGTTAGCAGTCAAATGCCTTAGGCACTGTGCCACCAGAACTCCAGTTAAATCTTAAGGAAGCTGGTGCACCCACTCCCTATCTAAAGAACCACAGCTACTCCTCTTCTTTGAAGAACTGTCCTCAGAGAGCAAACAAGTCTATTATTCTCATGAAGTTCCCATCCCATACCTTCTGAAACAATGACTGATGGGAGACTGACAAGGTTGGCTGTCATGGCTCAAAGCCAGGACAACCATAAGGAGTGCCCAAACACACTCTCCCCAACTGCCATGAATTGGGTGAAACCTCAACTTTACCTGAGACCACATGGTTCTTCCCCTTGTATAACCTGCTTCCTTCACTCACTTCCCAGTTTTTCCTGCCTAGTACTCCCTCAATAAATCATCTGCAACAAATCCCTGCTGCATATCCTCCTCCTAAAACCAAACCAAATCCATGGTCATTGAGTTGATTCTGATTCTGCAATCCTATAGGACAAAGCAGAACTACCCCATAGTTTCCAACGCTGTAATTGTTACAGAAGCACACTGTCACTCTTAGTTTTGAACTGCTGACCACTGGGTTAGCAGCTACATTCTTAACCACTGCACCACCTGGGAACCCCAATTAAGACATCAATGATAAAAAAAAAAAAAAAAAATGGGAGCTCTGGTAGCATAGTGGCTAAGGCACTTGACTGCTAACCAGAAGGCTGGCGGTTCAAACCCACCAGCCACTCCTCAGAAGGAAGGTTGGGCAATCCTACTTCCGTAGTGATGCTGCCTCGGAAACCCAAGGAGGGGTCGCTATGAGTCAGGGCTGACTCGACGGCACATAACAACAATAAAAAAAATAAAAACAAACAAAAACACAAAACAAACAAAAGCACAAACATACAGAAGTGACTCATGACTTCAAAATGCTTGGTTAGCATTTAAAACTTATTCTAATTAAAACACAACAATGTGGCATTATTAAGAACCAAATCTATTCTGTGATAAATTAACAACCTGCCATAGAGCTTTCCTTATTCTTAAGGGAGGTAAGGTACAACTTCACCTATTCTCCAGGCCTTCCAGAATCTAGCCTCGCATAACTTCCCGTTCTCACCAAAAGAGAATCCCTTCAGCAAAATTGCACTAATTTATTCACTGTTGCCTGATATGGCTCTGCTCACACTCCTTTATCTGAAGAACCATGACATTTCAATCCTAACTTCTTATCCAAAAAAAAAACCTCACTGCTGTCTAGTTGATTCTGACTCATAGCGACCCTTCCCTGGGTTTTCTTTACAAAAGTAAACTGCCCAGACTTCCTTCTAAGAAGCGGCTGGTGGGTTTGAACCTCCTGCCTTCTGATTAGCAGTCAAATGGCTTAGGCACTACACCACCAGAGATCCCTCTTATCCAATTTTATAGGTCAAGTCAAATCAAGTTGACTTTATATATCACGTCACAGATGAAGAGGATCAATGAGTTACGTTTTATGTGCACTCCCTCGTAAGACTAAATTAAGAAAAAGTTTTGAAACTTGCCATTGTTAAAAACTCATAGTGACCCTATAGGAGTAGAACTACCCCATGGGGTACAGATGCAGAATGCCACATCTTTCTCCTCTGCAGCCACTGATGGGTTTAAACTGCTGACCTTTCAGTTAGCAGCTGAGGGGATGGCAGTGAGTTTCATGTTGAAAAAAAAAAAAAGGGTCAATGACCCACCTACTTAAGTATAGTAAGAACACCCAAAGAATATTAGCATTTCTTTCATTCAAGGTAGAATGTTCTATGACTCCACAATAAAACATCATTAAAAGTTATCACTTTTACAGGTAGATTTATTGGATTCCATACTTGTACAATCACCTAGTCTGGTGATTTTATAAACATTTTTGTTGATCTTCAGGTGAAGGTATTCAAATTATTTTTAGCAGAAAATCTTCTTTACAAGCAGAGCTGTTCCATATGATGCAGCAGAGGAATCCAAGAACGAAGCTCATACATGCAACCCATCTTTTCCCAATCTCCCTCTGTAAATCAGAGTTTGGAAGCCACTCATCTAGTGCAACTTTCTCATTTTCCAGATGAGTATAAGATAAATGAAATTACAATAGCCAGAATCCAGGTCTTCTGACTCCCTGTAAGCTGCTCTTTGAACTCTCCTCATCTGATACGCAAATAACTTCTGTAAGGTATCTTGTCAATTGCTCTTTCCTTACAATCCTACAGATTCCATGAGTTCTTTAATGAGCCGATTTTAAGAGCAAAGGAGAATTTATAAATCACATTCAGTGATTTATGGACTCAAACATAAGAACTGATGCCACAACCTATGTCATAAAAGAATCTGAGTCTTAAAGATGAAGTGTACAAATAGGAAAACTTTCAATGGCCCCACAATTTTCAATGTTAAAAGTAAGTACATAAAAGAAGCACACAGACCAGAACAGTATATGTGTGCGTATGTATGTGCATATGTATATAATTAATTACTTAGGGGCAGTTTCCCCAATACTATGCTTCAAATAATTTAAAAAAATGGTAAAATTATAATATTAACAGGTATACTCTCACATGCTTGTAATAGCATTATTCCATCATATCAATAACAAATATCTAACAAGCTGAAAACATTGCTGTGAAAAATGTGCTCAAAGGAGTTCCCTTCTCTACTTCACACTGAGGAATGGACATTCCCTCATAGAAGTACAAAACTATGTAGGAGATAGTAAGAGAAAAATATTAAGACTGGACTTCAAATCTTTAAGGTGTATTCCATCTGTAAACTCCTATGATTTTAAAGAAAGAGTCATATGGCAGGAGAAAAAGACTTTTCTCTTCCCCTCAAAAAATCAAGAACAACATCCTAAGTGAATCACTTAGAGTAAACAGCCTCACAAGTTAAACATATTCTTACCAAAGAACATTGGAATATCCAACTTATCTTCTCTGTCTACTTTTCTTTTAATCATAACAATATAGACAGCATAAAGCATGGCTCCAACAAGAGACCAAATGGAACCTGTAAAAGTCAACATAATGATTTAAAAATTTCATGCATTAACTCATTCAACATTTACCTACTTAAAAATCTAATTATGTGACAGATACTACTCTACGCAATCAGTATGTAAAAGTAAAAAAATAGGTATACCTCACCCTATCCATGTCCTCTAGGAGTACAGGATGGATTTTAATATACAAGTAAATAAATGCAAAAACAGTCACATCGAAGTTCTAGCCAAACATTCATACATGTTATAAGACAAAACACATATTTGTGTAATACTTTGTTTTTTTTTTAAATTCTGAAATTAAAAAAAAATACTACCTGTTTTTCCCTACAAAAATAACTTTGACACTTACTACGGTCCAACTTTATAATGCTTTTTTCTATCTCAGGAATGTTGTTTATATTGTTGTCTTCACCCCCATAGCATTCTCTCCCTGTATCATTTTTTAATATCTATTCCACCATCATCACCCAGAGTTTCTAGGCCCTGTTAAAGTACCACCTCTGCCACAAAGCATCCTCTCTAAACTCCACTCAATTTCTTTCTCCCTTGTTTTCTGTTTTAGACAATATCATATTTACTATGGTTATATATAGTATTATGTTATTCTCTAGTTGCTTCATTTTGCTAATCTCATATAATGAGCAAAATTAAGAACTCCTTGAAAACTTCAAATATATAATATATACATTTCAATGCCCCACAATATCTAGCATAATGCTAGGTTCACAGTATGTGAATAGCAAGTACTGATTCTCTTTTAACTCATTAATGTTTCATTCTCAAAAAAATTTAAAGATGGTGGAATAGACAGACAAGCTACACAGACTCTTTTCAACAAAGAGAAGAGAAATCAATTGACACAGACACAGAAGATAATCCTGAAGCTTTGAAAGGAAGGATACAGAAGTGGACTTAAATACCAACTAGTAGAAGACCTGAATGAAAACAGTGACTAAGGAGACAAACAGAGCTGCAGACTGTCAGCTATGTTGGGAGCACGGACAGCCTGAATATTTCTCCAAGTGGTCTTAGGACCTGAGAATTAACCTGAAAATCAGCCTTGCTCCCCAGGGGCTGCAAGGAGGACTGCACTAGTGCCTGATGATTAAAAAGGGACTGAGCTGTGGACTTCTGCGTGTCCAGAGGGCACAGCCATTTTTAATGTTTACAAGTGGTGGCCATTTTGGATATTTAAAGTGACAGTGTTCTTGTTCAGATTCCAGGGACCTAAGAATAGGTTCCACTTGCCAAGGACAGAACAGACATATGGGAGGCTGACGACTGGAAAAGAGACAGATGGTGAGTGCATAAGTGCTTCCAACTAGTGAATAGAGGAGCACAGTACCCTGCTTACACAGATAACATACAAACAAAACGAAACCCTTGGGTGAATCATTCCAATATACAATCACCAATTAAATACAAACACAAAACTGTCACAATGTCTCAAAGACAATAAACCATCACAGTCCACACAAAAGAGCAAGATAAAGCAGTAGAGACAAGGGACCAGGATACAGACCCACAACACATTCCTGAGGAAGAAGCAGCATTGCAACTTCCTGATAAGAAATTAAAAAGAATTATATTTAGGAACTTCAAGATTGAGAGACAGATTGAGGAAAATACTGACAAAATTGAGGGAAATACAGACAAAACCCAGAACAGTTTCTAAAGAAAATAAAAGAACAAAATGACAAAATAAATGAAAAATTAGAAATGATACAAAATTGACAGACAGAAATCCAGAAGATTAATATTAAATTGTCAGAAATAGATAACACAATGAATGGGCAAAGGAGTAGAACTGAATCAATGGAAGGCAGTATTAGTGAGACTGAAGACAAATACCAGAATACTTCTTTGGAAAGGGATCAATCAGAAAAAAGATCAAAACAAAATGAAGAAAGCCTAAGGTTCATGAGCAATACCATCTAAAGGAATAACCTACATGTAATCATAATTCCAGGCCAGGAAGAAACAAATAAAACCACAGAGAAAACTGTCAAAGATTTGCCAGAAGAGAATTTCCCTGATATGATGAAAGATATATCCATTCAAGAAGTCCAATGAACCCCAAACAGGATAGACCTTAAATGAAACTCACCAAGACATATCATCATCAAACTCACCAAAACCAAAGACAAAGAAAGAATCCTGGAAGCAGCATGGGAAAAGAGAAAAATTACCTACAAAGGGCAACCAATAAGCCTAAGCTCCAATTTTTTGGCAGAGACCATGCAGGCAAGAAGGCAATGGGATGGTATATATAAAACCCCGAAGGAAAAAATTTTCCAACCAAGAATTATATATCCAGCAAAACTGTCCCTTATATATATGATGGTGAAATGAGGGCATTTCAAGATAAGCAGAAATTTAGTGAATTTATTAAAACCAGACCAACCAAACCAGATACTAAAGGGAGTCCTTTGGACAGAGAACCAATAGCAGTAAACAACAACCATTAACACACATGATGACATAACCCAGAAACCCACCCAGTTATGGAAGTATCCAAAGTTAATAAGCTTACAAGATTGGAAACAGGGAACCAGAGACATCAGTTGGCAAATGAGGACAACTACAAACCAAAATGAGGGAAAAAAATTATATAGTTACAGAACTTCTAAATGGTGAGAAAGTCAAGACAATCGCAAGATAGAAAGGACTGTTCTAACCTTGGGAAGAAAACTATAAATCACAGGGTAACCTTAAAGAAAAATGATAAACCTTCTCATCAAAGTAAGGAAGAGAACAAGCACAAAAATTTAGCAAATAGTAAAACAACAGCAACAAAGGAAGTGATAACACAATTCATAAACAAAACAAGCTCAGCACAGAAAATTATATGGAACAAAGAAATCACCAACACCAAGAAAAAACACAAAGCAAGATGACAACAACAAATTCGTAATTGTCTATACTTACACTGAATGTAAATGGATTAAATGTGCCACAAGAGACGGAGTATTGGAGACTGCATACGAAAACATAACCCATCAATATGCTGTCTACAAGAGATATAGTTTAGAGAGAAAGACACAAACATACTAAAAATCAAAGGTTGGAAAAAGATATAGCAAGCAAAGGGCAATCATAAAAGAGCTGTTGTTGTTCTTGTTGTTACGTGCCTGTGAGTCGGACCCAACTCATAGCGACCCCTCAGGTTTCTGAGGAGAGGCAGTATCACTATGGAAGTAGATTGCCCAAACTTCCTTCTGGGGAGCAGGAGTCACAATATTAATTTCTAATAAAATTGACTTTAAGACAGAAACCACCATAAGAGACAAGGAAGAACATTATTGTTGTTATGTGCCTTGGAGTCAGACCTGACTCATAGCGACCCCTCCTTGGGTTTCCAAGGCAGTATTACTACGGAAATAGATTGCCCAACCTTCCTTCTGAGGAGTGGCTGGTGGGTTTACCGAACCGCCAGCCTTCTGGTTAGCAGTCAAGTACCTTAGGCACTATGCTACCAAATGATTAAAGGATAAATTCAACAAGAGGACATAACAATAATAAATCTCAATGCACCTAATGCATAAATATTTAAATACATAAATATACCAAATAAATAAATCAGACTTTAACAGAATTGAAAAGACAAATAGAAGACTCCACAGCCATAGCAGGAGACTTTAATATACCATTTTCAATCAAAGATAGAACAACTGGAAAGAAACTCAACAAATGCAGAAGAACTAAACAATACAATCCACCAACTTGACTTTATAGACATCTACAGAACACTTTGCCCAATAACAGCACAATATACATTCTTTTCCAGTGCACACTGAACATTTTCCAGGATGGCTCATATGTTCGGCCACAAAACAAGCCTTAATAAATTCAGAAACACTGAAATACCTTAAAGCATCTTCTCAGATCACAAGGATACAAAATTAGAAATCAGCAACAGGAAGAATCAATGGAAAGAGAGCAAACACCTGGAAACTGAACAACACCCTCCTTGAAAATGACTGGGTGATAAAAAAATAAAAAATTAAATAAAAAAATTCCTTGAATCAAACAAGAATGAAAACACAACATACCAAAATCTTTGGGACACAGCAAAAGGAATGATCTGAGGCCAATTTATAGCAATAAATATGTTGTTGTTGTTGTTGTTTGCTGTCGAGTCGGCCCCAACTCATAGCGACCCC